ATGTGAAGAAAAGAAAAAAACAGCAAGCAGTGCCTGGAGAAATAAGGCTGAAAACAGTGGAGTGCAGGTCGGGGAGGGTTGCAGTGCTATTCACTTACCATTACACACTAAAGATCAAGGATGTGACGGATGTTATAGGAACACTGCCGTCATGTGAAGTATATTTTGACGTCTTATTTAGAGTTCGATGAGAAGAGACTTTTCAACTCTGTGAGATCAGTCTGGGTGTGTGGTCAATGTGCTGAATTGTGGCCGGATTATTACAGAGATAATCAGCGGTAGTGTCTGTGTACTCTAGATATTAAATGTTCATCTGCAATTTCTTGTAGTGGTCCCAGTAATATTTGTCCTTAAAGTGTCCTGAAGTAGCGGAACACACAGCGAAATGATTTCCCTGCTTCAGCTTCCAGACTGTCGTGGGGACTTTATTTTGCCTCTATGGCCAAAGTTGATGCTCACTTTGGGGCTAAGCCTCCTTCACAGCGGTAGGGAAGCAAAATACGTCAACGTTATTTGGGTCTCGAGGAGCTGCAGTGGTTATTAATGGATGAACCGAAAACTACACCGTAGGCTACATTAACTGCCACTAGACAACTTTACTGTTTAACTTTCTCTTCACAATATTTAGAGCATTAATATAGCAGCAAACAACTATGTATTGTGTAAAGATATAGTGGAGCAATGTCGATCACTATCCCTCTGTGCTTTCCCTCAAAGGAGTTACGTTACTCCTATGAAATATGCATCAAACTGTGTCAAGACCCTACAAGTATAGGACTGAAACACCCTGTTATAAACACATAGAGCGGTAAATAGGAAATTATACTGGGAAAAAAAAGATCAGTGAAAATTTAAATATTTTAGAGCTCCCCTTAAATGTATCAAATGAGGCTTTCTGGGTCGAGCTCTGTGGGGAGAGTAACAACCGCGTATGATTTGAGGAAGTGAATAAGATGGTTGATGGCTGAGGCAAAGACCTTTCTGTTCATTCTGAAAGAATTCATTTTGTAACTTAATAATCACTCACCCACTTATTGACTCACTCAGTGACAGACTTCTGCGTTGATAGGGCTGGCACCCGCTTTGCTACAGTTCAGCAAAATAGAGTATCCAGAGTCAGAGCTGTGAACAACTCAAATACAATTCCACACACCCCCATTGTATTGAGGTGGAAGCAAAATATAGAGCAGTTGACATCTCAATCTCTGGACAAATAAAACCAAAATCTGGAATGCTCTCTATCTTTTTTTGTTTTTGGCAAACCACCCCAGTAAGTGGGATTCTGTCATTCGCCTATCAACAACCTCCCATTTCTTCATGCAGTACACATGGAACAATCAGAGAAACCCCCTCTGATGTCCAGATACTGAAATATGTTCATATGGACTCATCTTTAGCATATCTGTTTGGGTAAGACTCTCAGCCAGATGGAGTCCAAATCCGTCACGCTATGACTGAGAATGTAAGGTCTGCCATTGGCCTTGAAGGTAGCCTGCACAGTCTCCATAAAGGGGCCCATGAAAAAAATAAAAGCGGCTGCAGGCTTACAATACTGCTCCTATGTGTCTGTGCCTGTGGTCGCTCCAGCAGACGCAGTAAAAAGAGGATGTTAATGAACTGCTGTCACACGTAGGCTGGTGCCTTTGAGGCAGCAGTCAGGATTCTCTCCACGTACTCGGTCTGTTTGCAGTGTGGAGGCTGTGATGTGCTGCCTGACTGCAGAGAGTCGCTTGCAGCCAGACATGAGGGGACCAACTCGGTACAGGGGGTCCCTGCTGCGGTCCCACTCTCTCACCAGCAGAGCAGAAGCTCGGCTCTGTGCGCAAATATGTGCGTGTAGGTGTGTGTGTGTGTGTGTGTGTGTGCTTCTTTGTCTGAGATGCACGCTGGCGTGTTTCGCAGGTGCATCTGCCAGCAGGAGGGACATGTATATAAATATAGCATACATTTACAGGCTCCAGAAGCACTCTTGTGCCCCGTAGATTGTTTCTCAGATTAGTAACAAAACGGATAAGGATAACGAGGGAAAACCAACGTATGTGTGTGTGCGATTGTGTGGGTGTGTTTGTAAGAGAGACAGAGCCGGTCTGCCCGCTGATCTCCCCTGCAATCTGCTACTGCTGCACCCTGGGTAGTGTCAGGATGGCTTGGGCACCCGCTGTGCCACCTGTCACCCTCAGCCCCTGCGGCTCACTGCCGGTCCAGCCACCCGACTCCAAGGCCCAGCCTCAATTAGATTGCTATTGCACAACCAAGATTGGTTCTTTTTCCCAACAGAAGATGTCTCTCTTTCAGATGACATTGTTAGCTTTTACCTCTCCACAACAAAACAACTCTGTGGCCATCTCCAGGTCCAGCACAGGTCTTGCTCTACATTATTTAAGATTTAAATGCAAATCTGCGACTTGGACATATGTAGGGGTGGGAAATCTCCTTGTCGGTGCAGTTGCTGATGACATTATCTCATGAACTCAGCAAATAGGGTACCCCTTGAAGGGGAATTCGGGGTCTCTCTTGTAAGCTTGACATCTGGCTCCACCAAACATCTGAGTAAGCATATTGGCCCTGCAGGCCTGGTGTGACAGCCGACAAGGAAGCTGGGAGATGTGGGAGAAGTGATCTGCACAGCTCCGCAGCTCAAGCTGTCACTTTGGCTTGGCTTGGCACAGTTTGATTCTCCCTGGCTCTGAAGCATTAGGCCCACTCTTCTGACTGCCGCTGCCCTGCCGGCACCAAGCCAATTCTTTCGTGGGGGAGGTCGATCATCACTTTCATTCTTTCTTTCTTCCTCTCCTTCTCCTGCTTAGTCTCTCTCAGCAGGGCTCTGGCTCCTCTATCGCAATCTTCCCTTTTTAGTCCTCCCCTGCCTCTTTCTTATCCTTTCCCCACCAGAAGCCACGAAATGGGATCCATTATAATCTGCCATTATTTGCTATTCCCAGTTCCTGTGCAGTACTCTAAGCTACTCATATGCTCTCTCCTTGCCATCTTTGTTCTTCTCTAAGTAGGCATTCATTCATTCAGTAGTCACTCCACCCACCAGGATCCACATTGGCATGTTATCGCAACCACTTTTAGATCCTTACTGGGACAAGGAAACTTGCAGTGGATTGGATGGATATATGCTCAGCTGTTTGGACTCATGAGGTAAAACATTGCCAGTGTACATACAAACTAAAGTGTAGAAGTTATTCACTTACAGTTTACTTTTCCTTCTTAACTCTTATAGAAATCTAATCTTAAAAACAAAGTGTTAAACGTCTAGATACCACACAACCAGGAGCTGAATTACAGCTTTTATTGGTTTGCCAAGTGCAGAACATTTGGCTTTTCAGCACAGCCACTGTAAACATAAAATAATATGGCTCTTTGTTGAGCAATTCATAAAAGTTCTGCACTAGGGTCCAATATTAGGTAAAGGCTAGTCCTATGTCCACAGCGCTGAGTCAGCGCAAAAGAAAGGTCTGGCTCCACATATTATCATTCTGTAAAAGGGGAAAGAAAATGCTCTGCCTTGTTTGTATTTCTTTAAACCAATCCCTATTGTTTGGGTGTTGCTAAGCCCAGGATGCGGTGAAGGTGCCTGGGTGTGTTAAAAATGAACCGTCTAACCGAAAAATATGAATTTTGAACGATTCATTTCATAAGTTAAACTAAAAATGTAAAAGAGCAGAGCAAAACCAAGAGAAGAGCAGCTTGTCACTTAATAGCTGGTCCAGCTTAAAGGTCAGGCCACCTTAAGTGAGCCTGGGCCATTGTTGTTGCTAGCTTTATGCTAACCCCATTCACTTTAGTCAGCAGGCTAGCAAGACAAAGGAACTTGTCTTGGGTCTAGCGGTGGAAGCATTTATTCACTGACATAAAATGTACACACACTGCACCGCTACGTTCCCAGCTGTTAACGTTACTGCTAACTTACTCATCACACACACACGCTCTCTCTCTCGACCGAACACTCGCTAATGTTATACCGGACTTGCAATACTCAAATTATGGCGGACAGCTGACAACCTAGCAGCTAACTAATTGATGCGTTCGAAGCTCACTGGTGACATTTGCCTGTTCTGTGCATACACGTTAAGGCTAAGTGATCAGAATCAGCTTTATTGGCCATGTATGCGTACGCATACAAGGAATTTGACTCCGGTTTTTCGTTGCTCTCAACGTACATACACAGAAATTACAAATAAAAAAAATTAAAAAAGTGATGGATTTAACCAGTTTTTTTGGTTATCGTTGCAGCTAGGCGGCTTGTGAGCACTTCAACCAGAGCACCCAGAATGCAAGGCAGTAATCCTGTCAGTTAATGATCAATGATCGCTTTACAAGGGTTGACTATCAGTCAGACAAAAAAAATCTAAATTGGCATCCCTAACGCTGCCCTTATGTAGCACAGAGTGATGTGTGGGATAAGTGGCGGCTTATACCCACAGTTTACATCCGGTGAGCCCGACTACGTAAAAGCTGTAGCAAAAAGTGCCTCAATTAAATCCTGCAAAAGGAACATTTTGTGGAGGCTACTCATTATTCTGTATAAGTACAGAGGGAAATGAATTATTTGAGTAAGGTAATTACCCAGTCACGAAAGAATAAACTGTCCTCGCCTCTGATTTAGAAAGGTTCAGAGTGTCTTGTTGGCCAAGAGATCTTAGTATAAACATCTTACCACCATGTCCTATTTATTACCCATCCCTCTCTTTCCTCCTCCATTTTGATCCACTTTCAGATCAAAATCCTTGTTTGTATGTACATTAAAATGTTTGTCACTGGCTGTTATCTTTTGGTGGTGAACATGACGGCCTGCTTCTGCCTATGTTCGTCTGGTTATTTTATCATTAAAACCTTTTTGTGGAATCACAAATGTTGCTGTACTTCCATCTTCAGGATGGTGCCTCGGGTGTTGCTGACAATTGCCATTGTGGTCATTTATGTTCTCGCACCCAAACATACGCAGCACATCTTACTTAGAGCACATAGTATGTATGTGAGACACTACTCACTTGTCTGGCCTGCCGGGCACCTGCAGGCGTAAGCGACATTTGTTAGCACTCTGGATCTGTTCTTCTTTGATGCGGATGAGCCTCTGCAGAGCCAGACACCAGTCCTGAGCAACAGTGGTGTTAAGGTTCTTTGATTGGAAAAAATCAAACACACACACACACAATTAAAACTTGTTTCTTGGCTGTAGCGTACAGGAAGTCATCTCGCCAAGAAGTGTACAGAGCACACTGTGCAGTACATATTTATATTCTTACAGGCAAACAACCACACATCCACTCATATAAAAATTGCAATACATTAATTGACGCTACATGGTCATGGCTTTTTTTATCCCCTCAAAAGGTAACGTTAAATCAACCTGGCCTTGAGCATCCGTTTTACAGTCAAATCTAGTCCTTCAAGTCAAACAGAATCAAATCACTGTTGTGAAGCCAACGAGCTGTGCAGAAGTGTTTTGTCTGTTTGTTCGGTGGACAGTAAGATAACTGGGTGGAAAGTGAAAAATCTGTCATTTAGTGCCGGGCCAATATCGCTCCTCCTGAGGACAATGTGCTCATTATGCAGGGAGGCTAACGTGCCATCATTACCCTGAGAGGCTCTTTGGTGATTGCTGGAGTATACCTCCCTGGCTGTGGTAGAGTATGGTGCAGCTCATGTGTTAGTGGCAGACTACTGGGAAGTGTCCTGATTTGAACACCACAGGAGGGACGCTGCTGGTTCCTTTTGCAACACAGCAAATCTAACACTTCTATCTGGAATATCAGGGGGAAATCTCCTTTTCAACATTGTGGCACTGTTGATGAAGAGATAGACGGGAGCCTTCATGCTTTTAGGAATCGATGATTCAAGAAGAACATGAGGCTGCTCTGTGATCACATTCTAAACATCAAGAATCCTTTTTACAATTTCGCAATTAGCAGAAAGAGATTTCCCCACATGGTTATTCCTTGTACCATCCAGATTTGATGTCTTAGTGTACACTGAATCCGGCCATTCAAATTAGCTGTGCATACTTCAATTTTGTCTTTGCTGCCTCTGTGACTCTTTGGTCTGTCATCAGGGCTTCGGAGCTCTTGTTAAGTAGTCTGCTCCATACAGAAAACATTCCATCTTTCATATACATGTATTTTCAGTCAATATCTCCAGAAAACTAGCAATTCGTGACACTGAAAGCAATGTTTGTATAAGGGAATATCACATTTGAAGGTCAATCTGTGAGCTCTTAAAGAAAGCCTTGAGAGAGCAGGGCTGTGTTTTTGTGCTGTGTAAATGTAACAAACTGTGACTTCAGTGGCATGGCCTGCAGAGTCAGTTGGATTGAGTCAAACCATGCCTGAGATCTTTCCTTTCGGCTGACTTTGGTGCATTATAGGCTATATGTTGTATGATACACATTTCCCCATGTGAGACGGTCCAGGCAGAGTAAAGGTGTAACAGGAAGTGACATGTAGGTACCTGGTACATCCCCTGCAGAGTGCCCACGAGGAGGGTGACCTCCTCCACCACGGAAAGGTCATGCTGCAGTTCCTGCAGCTCCTGGTAGAGCCGTGGAGGGCCGAGGAACGCTTTGCCTGAGAAGTGGGCAAACAAGCAAAGCCTCAGAGTTTGTGATATCACTATTGCATTGCATATTATTTATGCAGAAGAAGAAGTACACTCAAGGTGATTGAAATTTTTAGTTTGACAGTCCAAAACCCAAGCTGGTACCAGTGAATGTTTGACAAATGACTTGATTAACAAACTGTTGACAATCAATTTGATTAACTAATCATTTAAACAATTTCAATAATGTATACACTAATCAGATATGGTGAATTGACCAACTATCTAATATTCAAGATTGAATTCTCCTCAACACTAAGAGGACACAATCACATTGCCGCTGAGAACTTGTGGGAGTGCAGAAGGAAAAGTTGCCTTTGCTGAAACTCCAGTAGCACTAATAAAAGAGGTTCGATGTGCAGATGGATCGATCTTCATCATTTGTTGAACTACAGAGAATGCATTTATGAGTAAAAAAAAATAAAAATCAGATGGAGAAACTGTTATTCGGAGCTATGATGCCCTTTTGCTGGCCAAAAGCAATGCAGGTGTCTCATTAGATGCAAAATTCAGCATCGATTTGAGGCCGGCTGCCTTCAAACTCTCTCTCTCTCTCTCTCTCTCTCTCTCTCTCTCTCTCTCTCTCTCTCTCTCTCTCTCTCTCTCTCTCTGCTGCTGCCGCGAATCGATAGCTGTGTCTCCTCCTGTCTGCCATCCCCCGTCCTGGCTCCCCAGCAGCAGAACTGCCTAATTAAATTCTGCAGGTAGATTTTGCTCCTGAGCTGTCCTGCACTGTCACCGCTGCCACATAATAAAGTAGCAGAAAGAGCTGAGCCGGTAGGCGGGCTTAGCGAGGCATGCTCCTCCGAGGGGACCCGCTGTCTTTTGTCTGTCCGCGTGCATAAATGGAGTGAGAGTAAAACCATAAGAGGAAAAGGGGGTGAGAGAAGGAGAGTGGTGGGCTTGCATTGTTCATTTAAAGAGCTCTATTGTAGCTTTTGGGGTTTAATGGGATCTTCGTCATGGGCCGCCAGTGACATCTGTCAACTGTGCAAAGAAATCAATAGGTGAGACATCTGAATACAAAAGGGTATGCTGCAAGCCGCGAGAACAATGTCTTCCTGTCCTCTGCAAAGGGAATGCCTGGACCCCTATACAGGTTCGTCGACTCCTCTGGGGCCGGCTGTTGGCTGCGGCGCGAGAGGTGAATGTGCTGAGTTGTAATCCAGCGTAATCCCGTTGGTGAGGCAGGATATGGTTTTCATACTCAGACATGGCTATTCACATCGGCCGCCAGGCACGTAGCCCACTGGTGTGCAAGGCCGGAGCCCAAAGGTTGCTCTGGAATAAGTCAGCATCTAGCACTCAGCTGCTGTGCCAATGACGCCAGCCAGTGGATTTAAAGACAATGCGGCTTTCCACAACAGCATCAAAAAACCCTTGTCTGATCTGCAGCCAAAGCCCCACTGCTACACTTCTGACAAAAAACAATTTAAAAATAAACTGCACTCCAGACAGCGGGTCAAAAGCGAAGCAGCAATAAGGGAGGTGTAATGGGGACAGAATGAAGGTAAGGCAGCGTGAGAGTAAACAACTGGCACTAAAAAAAGAGCATGAACATTGGAGGGCTTTTCCGTGCGTTGGCAAGAAGAGACATGGAAGGAGACGGTCCGACGGAGATATAGGCAGAGACGAAGGGGGAAGAGTCAGAGAGACGGGCCTGCATTTCCCCAAAGGACAGCTTTCTTCAATAAAAAAGGGCACCGGGGCCTGCAGAAGATGAAAAATGACTCCATTTTGACTCATGCTGAGGGAGCGCAGGATTTAGAGTAGACACCCCACTGAATGACATCACAGGGGATGAAACTATAAATAGATGGGACAGGCTTGTCTGAAGGAAAGTTTGGGGAATGGTCTCACGGATGTTCGGGGAGGTTTCTGCGTCGACATGATTACGGTGACTGCAGCGTGTCGAAGAAGTGAAGCGGAAAAAAAAAAAAGAATCCAGCTCCTTCTTTGGGGCATAACATTTGCAGAGTTAGACACAAGTAAAAGGAAGAGAGACAGCCACATTGAGAGCGAACCTTAACTGATCCCCAAAACCTTTGCTGCAAAGTTGTGAGTACACACACCACCTGTGCGAAAAGTGAATCATTAATCCGTAGAGAATCGGAACCGGCTCTCAAAACAGTAGCTGCTTGCTGAGAATGACACGGTCAGCTCTGAGGAAGGCGCCATTAATATTTAAGTCAGGGAACTGCAACTTTAAAAAGCCTGTACCATTACATCCTGATAAGGCTTTGTATCTCCCTTTTTCCCATGGCACATTTATCAGGGATCTCTTCAAGCTCTGTATACACCAGAGTTTACTGAGGGCTGGTGGGAGAACTAGTGTTTCAACCAGCGATTCCTATCTACTGTTACTGGCTCTCTAATTGGGCCTGGAAAGGGAGGGAATAATCTCTGCAGATTGATGACTCTACTTTTGGTGTGTTTATGGTCTATCAGAGAGTGAAATGAGACTGTGGGGATGCTGAGGCAGGGGACTCTCCAGCACCCTCATCTCTCTCCAAGATAAAACACCCTAGGCAGATTGGAACGAGTGACCGTCATCACTGTCCTCCTCACAAACACATCCTCAATCAGAGTGACAAGCAGCGCGGATGCGTCTCCAGCCCTCCGCGGGACACTTGAGAACAGAAACAGATTAGCCTTGCTGAGTCAGAGTAAGGGGCTGAGACTAAAAGTCAGTCCAAGTGATGAGATTATCTCGAGGGTGACACACGAGGGAGAGGAACGAGATAGGACCGATTCACGTTTTCTTTGGTTATTTACCTGAGGTGCAGGCTCGCTTGGCCCCGCTCTGCTGGAAGAGGGTATCTTTGCTTTGAGGGCCCTCCTGGCCCACCTCAACTACTTGCACCTGCTGTAGGGGGGCGCTCCACTTCATGGTGTACTTGGGACCGACGGGGACCAGGCTGCTGATATCCGGAGGCCCCCTGATTAGAGATGAGACCAAAAAATACAAAAATTAGGACAGAGTTTTTTAAGGGAAAACAACCTGAGAGAAATTTCCCTCTCTCCCCTCTCCGCATCCTGCTAACAGCGCTACACCCAGCGCTCCATAGCAGGTGACATGTCATGAAGAAGACTCGGGAGTGGGAATTAGAATCCGTATGATCACCCATGTTCCCTGCCAAAATTGTACCCCTGGCTGTGAGGAGGAGTTCATTGCTATTCATGTATTCCTGTAATCACGCAGACAATCAACATTGTGATCGGTTTGTCGAGATCCTGGAGGGCAGACAAAGTCAACTTCGGGACACTCGAGTTGAATGAGACATGGAGCGATAATTACTTTGAAGGCTGAACAAGAGGGCTTTAAGCAACATCTTTGACAGGGGCTTTGCGAAATATACAAAATCCCTTTTCCTGTTTACTTCGAGAGAGGGAGGGAGGGAGGGAAAGAGAGAGATGTGATCAATGTTGCTGTCGCAGAAGATGAATTGGAATGAAACCAAAAAAATGTTTTATGTCAGTAATCTAGGACTCCTGTAGCTGTAGTTAGGCATTCTACCATTTGTTTAATGCTGATAAAGCTCCTGCAACTCCAGATAGGGCTCCAAACCCCTTGCAGCTATTTCTCTTTGCAATGCAGTTTGCCAAAATATCCTTGCAAAACCTAGGGCATCACATTAGAGCGCAGTGCCACCTAATAGCTATTTCTCCTAACGGTGCAGTATAGCAGACTAACTTCATGTCAGAATTAAGCATCGCGAACACATTAGCAAAGTATTTTTGAACGGCATCTAGCTCGACATGCTCTACAAGAGGGACTTACTTGACATTTATGTTGGCACAGATGAGCACATCATCAAAGAGGAAGACCTTTCTCTCCTTCGACTTCAGGACTTGTCCCCTCTCGCCGTACACCGTCTCAATAAGCGTCTCACAAAGGACCAGTGACCCCTGCTCCGAGTTCAGTTGCTAAAAGGGACACAGCAATCAGATCAGAGGTTGGTGGAGACAGCATCACAAAGGGCCAGTCCTCCAGAGTTCGACGCCCGGAGGACACAGAAGTCGGCCTTGGAGGAAGAGATGTCTCATCAGGGATTAGCGACACATTCATGCTGCTGAAGGTTATTTAATGTACAAACGACACACACACACACACAAGGCACAAACGCATCCCTAGCGTGTTCATTCATCCAACTTAGTGACAGAGGGAATGTCCTTTTCGCTATCTCTGGCCTGCACACACGTGACGAGAGGCACCTAAAGACAAACTTTAACGGCGTAACAGGAGCGGCTTTTCTAAATAAACTAGTCCAACACATCCCTTCAGATCATTCTGTCCTTTTGTCTGCGGCGTGCTATCAACCATACCGCTACCAGTGGTGGTGAGTCAAACTGGCTTAGCTCGTGAGCACTGGGACACACAATCCTTTCCACCGCAACAAGGCAACAACACATGGCATTAAACACATTAAACAGTTTGCTGCCTGCACACCTTCACACACACACACATGCACCCACACACACACAGACACAGTGAATAAATTCCATAACAGATGCAATTTATGCTACAGCATTTTAGCACATGCTGTGCTTTCCTGTCATCCATATGTTGCACGGCAAAAGGAAATAGCAACAAAAAGCTTCTTTCTTTCTTTTTTTATCGCTTTGCTCCGGCTTCTTTTATGACTGCCTGAGTCAATATTTTTATGTATACTGCGCCAATCTAAGCCAGGCTCATCACAATTTATACTGCAAGCAGCAGCTTATGTCCAAATATGGCCCTCGCATCCTGATACTTTGGCGTTTGTGTTTTGCTCAATAGGCACACATTTTAGCGAGTAAAGAATCTCTCTCTGCTGTGTCCGTTCTACAACCTGCAGTGCAGTAACGCATGTGACCACGTTTCCACAGCAGAGGATGTCCTGTCTGCAGGCAATCTGGAGCTGCTCTTGGCCGTGGCTCAGATAGAACACAGAATGAGTCATTAGTCCGTGCAGGACTGCCGTTTGATGGCCACAAAACTGTACAACTCCCTCAAGAGTTGGGCCGCTATAAGAATACACCCTTAAAGTCTTCAAGCATCAATAGGCACAGAGGGCATTGCACGAGTGTGTGTGCATGGCAGTGCGCGTGTGGGAGTGTGTGTGAAACCCATTTTCACTCTCATTGTTATCTGTCCTATTCCGCCGACTTAGATACTTTGAGACAAAGAATGAATATTTCATTGGATGGTTATGGGGGCAATAGAGGGGACTGTTTCCTATTGGAATTCTGCAGAGTCACCGCGGCAAATGGAATTCTGTGTGGAGTGGAAGAGATTGGGCGAATCAGCTCATCTCAGAGTCCTGGAAAGCAAGGGCTGATAGAAAGAGCAGAGGGGGGGGGAGACAGAGAGAGAGAGAGAGAGAGAGAGAGAGGGGAAGATGCAGTCACACTAGAGAAAGGGAAGAAGAGTGTACAAGTGGAGTGAGAAAGTAAGCAAGGGAGTGCAAGAGGGGAATAGAGGGGAGGTAAAGTGGAGAGAGAGGAAGAGCGACAGGGTGAAAGAGATAGCTCTCGTACAGTTTCCAATTAAATGTCTCATTTACCCCCTAATTCTTCTTATTCAAAGCAGCATTTGTTCAGATTTGCAGCGGCAGGACTGTAATTTCAGTGTGGTAATGGAGAGGCAACGCCTCTGCCATTGCATTTGGTACTGTTTGGGAATGATAATGGGCATCATTTCTAGGAGATAATTCCCCCGAAATAAAAATGCCTCCCTAGATTAATGTGTGGGAAAGTGATACATGCGATGGCCATACACTAGTTTAATTTATAGGTGTTTGGCTCACAGCGATAACAACGCGGAGGAGTGAAAGGGCGCAGGGGGCTGGCTGATTTGATTGGGGCATGTGTGTGTGTGTGTGTGTACGCGTGCATGTGGGAGTGCATGTGCATCCAGTCACCTTACTGAGCAGGCGATCACTGACGCTGCGGGCAAGCTGCTGAGTCTCTGCAATCTGGTCGGCTACTCGTTTCTGTTCATTCAGCTTCTCAGCCAGCATCTCCAGCTCCGTCAGGGCGAGCTGCAGGGGCAGGCGGTCCACGTGGCCCTTCGGTGTGTTCTTAAGCATGTCCTGGAAAAGGTCATGAGCAAAGTTTAACATGAAGACCCTGAAAGTTAAAAACGAATTCAAACCACTCTCTGTTCATGATTCAATACTTTATTCTGTTTACTGCAATATAAATAATGTGTTCTGTGAGTATTGTCTTTACTTTGAAATGTTGAAAGAGGGGACATTTTTCAAAGTTCTGACATTTCTTTCTGACGTCAAGCACTCACTTTGAGTTCAGGTGTGTGACTGGCACATATACCAGCGGATTTGACTGTGTACACCACACTGTCCTTGCAGTGGTTATGTAGACTTTGTGAAGCTCATTGTATTCCACTTTCTACCCTTTTTTAAGCAGAGTTGGCTAAAACAAACTAGACTAAGCACAGGCTTTGTGGCTTGCATGTCTATGTTTGCCCTGCATCTATGACCCAGTGAAAGCTTGGTATTGTCTTGATATGCATCTCAGATGTACCGCGATGCCTTGAGCTCTAGCTCCCTGTAATGTTTGATTTAATACATACCCTTCCTATTTGGAGTACTGAGTTTATACTGGAAGAAAATGCCTGATTCACATTCATAACTTATCTTTTGAATTCATGGATAATCAATGCCTACTGAGGGATGAAATGAGCTTCTGCAGATCCAGCAAGTCAAGCTCAAATCCAAATCTTTGCTCAGAATGGAAAGTGGAAGAGTCAGGGAGGATATAAAGCCAGCATTATGAAAAACTGATGTGGCTAGCTACTTTTCTAGCTCAAGCTAACTTTAGTGTAAATGTATGTGAGGTACAACTTCTTCCATCATCGATTCTGTAACCTTGCAGCTTTGCATCTTTATTAGTGTATGTGCAGCTGAATCTTTAATTTGACTCCTTTCTCATATTGGAAATGTTTAGCTAGTGAAACTTAAGGGATTCACTTAATTAAAACAAATGAAATAGCCATTCACAAACAACATTTTGTACCTGCAGGAGCAATATGAACTGGGGGAATCGCTGAATGGGCTTAACCATCAGGCCGTACAGAGTGATCCGGTCAACACTAGACGCCTGCTTCTTCTGGAAACAGAAAGAGAGAAAGTAAAATATTTACAGAACATGCAGTTGGAATAACTTTCTTGCACAGAAAGGCCATTAAGAGGAAACTATGCTATGCCTACTTTAAGAGGAGCCTTGTGTAGGCGGGTGAGTGGGTGAATAAGGGATGTAAAGCAGGGTCTCTTAGTCATATGAGAATATTTAAGAGGAGGTTTTTTTGAGGGTTGTATGTCTAATGTATTACTGTGGGCGTAGGTCAGAAGGAAATTGTTTCGGCGCAGTGTCAAGTCTGTGCCACGATGACACCATCTGTATGAAAAGGCAAATCACTGGGCACATTTAATAGTATGGTATGGTAGTAAAGGTCGGATAAGATCGACTGTGAGACAGAAATCAAAAAAGAGAAAATTGTTGCTGAAAGTTAAGAGATCTCACATCATCTGCTATACAGTGCAGTCGCTAACATAATCTGTTTTCTTTTAGCTTAAAGTATACTTATTGTTCCTTTGGGTTAGAAAACTATTATTGCACTTTTAAGATGATACACGCAAATTGAATATCTGTTTAACTTATACTTCATATTACAAAATGAATTTGATTGATATTGATATTCTGATATGAGACAAGTCGCTGCTTGAGATTTTGGTAACTGTTATACCATGATCCAGACTACATGTGTGTTTTCCAGGCAGCAACCTTGACTTAAACTTGTATTCTCTTTACTGGCCAGCAGGGGGCTGCAGAAAGTCTGATCGATATAGAAGTCTATGAGAAAATGACTCTACTTCTCTCTTGATTTATTACCTCAGTAAACATTGTAAACATGAGTTTATGGTCTCAATCTCTAGTTTCAAGTCTTCTTCAATACAGCATGATGTTCATTTAGTAAGTTATGGTCCATTCGGAGTAAAATAGACCATAAAGCAGAGTATGCTTTAGGGCGGGGCTACCTTGTGGTTGACAGGTTGCCAGTGTTTTCAGTTTGTGAAAGATAATTGCAACTTTTTGGTTGCCTAAAAATGTCTTATTCAGCTTACACTTGTACTCAGCTCTCAAGTCATTTCTGGGTGCAAAAAACCAAGATGGCGACGACAAAAATGCAGAATTAGAGGCTTCAAAACGTCAGTCCACAAACAAATGGGTGACGTCAGAGTGACTTTGTCCACTTCTTATATACTTCTTATATGGTGTTTTTTTAGCACTTCATGTTGCAGTCTATTAAATTCAAATGTCTGAGTGTATCTAATGCTTCCAGTTTATTAACATGAATGATGAATACCTCAACCTTTCTGGTCACGATGACATTGACATCAACATATTTTCAGTCACTGTCTCTCTGCGAAGATTACAGATTGTAACTCTCGTATTTAAACACAGGTAGAGCCCTTTGACAGGCTCTAAAGGCTCAGCCACTTGTGGAGTTCACTCATACTGTCATGCACTTAACCACACAATCAATTGCTCTAGCCCTATATAGAGGACTGAGTAATGTGGCCGAACTAGTCTCCCATGAAGTCAGCCATTTGTAGAGTGGCAGGATGCAAAGATTAGAGGACTCCACCTGTGGGGAGCCACGTGGAACAGCTTGACTCAATTTACACAGAACTCAACACACAAAGACACATTCTCACTGGTCAATATACTTCAAAATTGCCTTTAAATTGCGTAATAAAATCAATTTTAAGTTATTTTCAGGCATGGGTAAAAGAAAGGTTGCCAGTGTATTCTGCATCAATTCACTTTGTATTGCAGTAAGTTGGTTTATGCAGCAGTCACAGCCCTTTGGTATAGCTACAGTGCAAACACCGGACTAGCATGACACCTTTTTACACAATCACTAGAAGGAGACACAAGCGGTCAGCAGCTACACAACTATCACATCACAGCGGAGGGTAGGAAGGCAGTGATATCAAAGATGCAATTTTTATCTGCATGATCCAATGTTCAGTAACTGGACAGACACATAATAACCAAGCAAAAAATCCTTACACCACACTTGAACAGGTCAAGATGTAAATAGAGAGATGGGCTCTTTCCGGCTTCATGCGCTGTAGATAGTTGAGTGGTGCCAGTTAGAGAGGCAGTTGTGGGTGAGAGGAGTTTTAGGGATAAACTCTCCATCTCTCTTTTGGAGGGCAGTCATGTTCAGTCAAACCTGTCCAGCACAGATGGTGTATGAATCCATAACACCGCCTGAGATCATATCAATTCAGCAGTAGTTCAGCTAACTGAACTCTTAGGACATGACCTGGAATTTCTCAGTTGATGTCTTGTTAGTAATAATCACCAATAGGAAAAAAAAACAACTGCCAAACCTGCCATTGGAGCCTGGACCAACGGCGGGAAACCTGACTGATATATTTCACCATTGTCTTTTTGAGATGACGGTGATGGACTTATCCTTCACTACCAAGTAGAAGAAGTGGCCAGGAGAACCAGGGAGTGCAGCCTTTGCCTCACATATCAGGCAACTACAAGCTGCCAACGTGTCTCCATGAAGGGAGCAAGGAAAAGCGGAGGCAGCCAGCCAGAAGGCACCCAACAGCTCGTGGTTAGTTGGTGGAGGTGGAACTGACAACCACCAGGTGAGGTGGGGTCCTGTTGTATTATCTAGGCTCTGTGTGTAAATATGTCTGAGCCAATCAGATCAGAGTGGACTAGCTATCAGCTCTGATCTGGTGGTTTGTTATGATCATCGCAGGAGAACGACTGAGAGAGTGATCTGAGAAGTTTTTACTTGCAGCTGCTTGCTAACTGGTCATGCCGCTGATCATGCCGCTGCCAGTGTTGGTGTTCTCTCTCCGTTTGGGTCTGTTCAGGCTGATGCTTTTTGGATCGGGCATTACTATTCTCGGGTCAATTTGGACCTGGGCTGACTGTTCTCTGTGTCCTTCGTGCACTTGAGGTTTCCCACAGATCCATTTTAGGTTGAGTCCAATATTTTGGACACATGACTACCTCTGCTGTGAATCTCTTCTCTCCCACATCTCCTCCTCTAATATCCTCTGGAGAGTGAGCTGGAGGTTCTGAGGCAAGTAACCCGCCGTCCAAACAACCACCGGCCTTCTGAACGCTGACAGTGGCCTCCTCACAATGAGCCTGCAAATTTGAGTGTGCTGCTCTGCAGAGTAGCGAGGTCAAGCTTTATCCCATTAGTGGGCAAAACCTGTGCAAAATAGTGCAGGTTGTGACAAAACCGATTGGATTTGTTAGTGACTATTTATACCATATTTACGGACGCTTGTAACCAACTCTTACTGTACAACTTCCAATGCAGTAGACATACGTCTAGTTGTGATACATGAATCAGAAACATTCTACTTTGGTCTGTAAAATGTCTTTCTGGCAAAGTCACCTACCATACGGAGTAGAATTATATTTGTTGCCAGGCAACCATATCAGCATTTACCAGTATGCTGGAAGAGTTGGAACTTCCATTATGCTAATTTTGAGTTAAAACCCTTGACACCTACTTTTGATGTCAAGAAAAAAAGGGGCAATGGGCCGCACTGGATATGTCATTGAACCTGTCAGGTGGACATTTCCCTCTATAGCTGATATGAACTAGATTAAGCCCATTACACCTCCAGCAGGTTCAGTAATAAATCCTGCCAACCAAGCTCCAGATGCCTCCACGCCAGCTCTCACCGCGGACCTGGATAATGCTATGCCACACTAAACGGCTTCTAATACCACTAACTTCTAATAACCTAATGGGATGCTGAGTTCTCTTTCGTTCTGATTTGCCGTTTCAATATTCTTTTTCAGTGTACAAAAGAAAATAAATGTTGCTTGGACAATAGCGAACATTCATCCAGAGAATGAAAATTGATTTGCTAACTTCTTCCATATCAAAAACAACTGATTTACACTGAACATACCTAGATGCTTCTCTGCAAAGCTCTCATATTACTTTTCTGCAAACTCTATTCAAACAATGAATTTAATGATCCCTATCTATATAAATCTGCCTTGCATGCTCATGGTCATGTGCATGCGGTCAGTGCCTCCATAATATTTTAAAACCAGCAGAATGAAGTCTGCCATTGATTCAGTGGGCTTTTGTCCGTCTGTGTCTAAGCCTATTCATTATTTGGTTTGTCTTCACATTGCCGGTGAGAGCTGCAACAGTCGGCGGGAGGGACAGAGGAACCTTTCCACAGAAAGGAGAGGACACATGTTATCTGGAGGAACATGCAGGGCTGTCAGCTGTGGGATCTGCTTCTGTAAATCAGCATTACAGCTCAATGATCCAGGTCGTACTCATGCATGAATGCTGAGCGCACAGGGAATTGTTAAACTCAGTACATTTGAATAATTCCTTGGCACTCTTCCTGCACCCTGGCATTATTTTTCCTCGCTCGTGATCCTTAATTAATATCTGAAGCGTTAGGTAAACAGTACAACAGATCTTGTCTGGTATGTGTAAAGTCGTTGAATCTCCAATTTCCATTTCACATTAATAACCACCAAATTAACAAAGTGTTGCAATGTCCTAGTGTTTTTTGTGAATCCTAATATTAAAAAAGCTTTTCAAGGACAATCTTGGACTCTTCCAGGCTTTCACTAGCACAGTGGGTTATAGAGCGCTTCAATCTAATTGCCAACGTCAGAGAAAGCTACACGGTAGACAACACAATTTCGCAAAATCCATTTGGACCATCCACTGTAAATATATGTAATCTAATTTGTGTATGAAACCACCTTTTTACACACTGAATTATTTGTCTCTTTTGGAGACCTGAGCAAGTTATGTATTATTTAAGCCTTTAGTTTTGGGGCTTTGCTAGCTTCAGCATATGATGAACACGACAACAAACAAACACAGCACAGCAGCAAACTAAGGAGACAAAACACAGCTGGTTTACTTTGATTTTAAAATCGAGAAGAAAAAAACATTACACATTAAAAACTTGTGCTCACAGCTGAAGCTCACCTTTAGGAATTCCAGAAAAGCTGGTTTGGAGATGCACGCCTTCTTAATCAAAGCCATGGCGTTGGTGAAGTTGTTCACGTACTCACTGTAAACATCCAGCACCATGGATTTGGAAAACTGCAAAAAACAGAAACAAGCATTTTTTAAAATCTGAATTAGTAACAACAGCCCAACAATAACAAGGTCTGCTGCTGTGCCATGTTTGACTATGTTGTCCTTACACCGGCATCCACAAACGCAGCCGTGTAATTTCTTCTGACATCTTGAATGTTTGGCTAACCGTCTTGAATGTTTGCGGGGTGACCCGAGGGTAATTTCAATGTAAAGCGAGACAAGAAAATGGACATTTAAGTGTAGTGCTTAAAAACAAAAATTGGTTTGTTTACTATCCCAGTCACCGCAACACACTTCACGAGCCATTTAAGAGGTTGGGCAAGGAGGAATGAGGTGGCTGAGTGTGAGAGAGAGTGTGTGTGTGTGTGTGTGTGTTGTGCAGTAGATGTTTATTCCCTCTACTCAATTAAACTCACACCATGCAGCTGATGGTGGCAGTTTGAGGAGGGGTGAGGAGTTAACAAATCGCATGAAGGAAGCAACCCTCTTTGTTTAGGATCCTGCCTCTCAGATACTCCTACAAGATATTACACGCAGGTATAGATACATTGGCACAGGGGCAGCTCAATGAGGAGTGCACAGTCTCAGCACTATCCTTTCTCACTTGATGGTTGGTCTTGGGATATTATTGTTACAGCCCGATAATAGCCAGCAGAGGAGGAGAGGGACGAATCAGCCCCTCTAATAGGCAAATAATAAGCGGACCTTATGGATGAGCACGCTGCAGATACTCACAACACAAAAAACTCACACTGTACACTATGGTTCTCGAGCCAGAATTTGTAAACACGTATCCCAGAGAGCGTTGGATGCAGAGGAGATATTCATCACAACTGTAATTGATTGCATGTTTGGGGTAAACTATCCCTGTTTGCTCATCCTAAAGCCTGCAGCTCATTATAACTCTGGCAGCAGCGATTGTGTGATACAGTTAGATAGAAATGCCAAGACAATTTTTAGTTCCTTTACCCAGAATGCAAGGCAATGTTAGAAAGGGATAAACAGAGAATGCAAACACACACACACAGACACACACACACACACACACACACACACACAGGCCTCCAGTTTGCATTTCTGTTACACAAACATGAAGATATGTACCAAAAACATGCACATGCATGCACACTAACCGAGGCAACGAATAAGTCTCCGATTTTCTCACTGCTGTCCCACTCGGCCACACGGGACGCCAGAGCAATCTGAAACATGGAGTGGCACTGTGTGATCTCCCTCATTCGGTAAAATATAGGCCGGATCTTTCTTGGGCTCAAGATGCGTGGATCAGCCTCCATCAATGGTCTCTGGTATTCCTGGTGAGATTGTGAGAGAAAATTGGGTTTTTATTGTTGTTGATGTACGTGTGTGTGTGTGGGGGCGGGTGCTGAAAATGAATCAGCAGTCCACCTTCTTTTAAGCATTTCTTCTTTTCAGCAGCATCCGAGGGGTAGCAGACAAATATCCTATAAATCAAAGAAAATTAAGAAATGTAGTCATGGTGCCTGGCAGCACATGACTCCGAAGGATTCGCCCGCAAAACATCGTTTGCCACTAGCAAACATGTTCAAAACTCAAGGTGACGAGTAATCATAAAAGCCAGAATAATAACGGCAAAAAAAAGCAGCTCCTCGCTGAGTTACAAATGCAAAATGCAACATGGTGACATGGTTGATTGATTCTTCAGTCAGCAATCATGGGCACGTTAGCATGGCTGAAAGAAAGGAGCTGACAGGCTCCTTGTGGACAATATTCTTTGTGGAAGCCAGTAAACATGACTTCTTTGAATCTGAAGCATAGATATTGTGTACACGATGGATACACTGTTTAACACAAAAAATGAATCTAATCAAACAACAGCGGTGGTCATCTCCGCAAATAATATCATGGACAGAGGGAACATGGACAGGCAGTACAACATGAACTGTGCGATCTGTTTCACGGCAATAATGACACGCAGTTACAACCCTCGATGTCTAATTTCTCTTGCTTTGCTTGTGGCCTTTCATGCTGTTGTATGTAATTTGTCTGGAGACACTCGGTGGGACTCTCTGAATAACAAGAAGGATTTCAAAAGAGCTAAACCTCCCCAAGTAGCACACGCAATCATGTATGTCACTCAACAACAAAGGTGTCTCATTGTGTCTTAACAGTGAAATATTTTGGCTTAAGGAAGCCAATGATTGCTGCTGATTTCATTTCAGTAGGTTCCTGATGAGGAAATAACAAGTCTCTCTTTTTCCCCACTAAAAAGAGAGATAAAAGAAGAGAGGCTGAACCTCTCTCTCTCTCTCTCTCCCTCTCTCTCTCTCTCTGTCTCCCTCTCTCTCTCTCTCGCTCTCTCTCTCTCTCTCTCAGCATCAGACCAGCGCCACCGAAATGAGGAGGGCTGATTTATCAGGATTATTTATGCTGAGACACCTCGGTAATTTGATGGATATCACCGCTTTTCTGTTCAGCGCAATTCATAACAGCTAAATTGTGAAGATATTGCATGTGGCAGAGGAGGACAACAGGGACTAAACTGCTCACCTGCAAGATCCTCCTGAGAGATTCCAGGTAGCTCCGCTCGCTCTGAATGATGGAGCCGAGGATATGGCGTCTGACAACCTGCGTAGACAACAGACCAGTCAGGAAATCGAGCACTAAGAGGACATGATGGGGCTGCAGTGTGCTGTGTGCTTTCAGTTAAACACAGCGTAGGGTGATGGATTGCACTATAATCACACGCTTGTCATAGGAGGAGAAAGACTCAAAGAGAAGCAGGTTTGTTTGAACAAGGCCTCCATCGGAGTTCTGAATCCGAGGATTTCCCGTGACATGAAGTCACGTTAAGTAGCTGTTGTAAAAAACACTGCTTTTCTAAATAGGATAAAGAGAATATAGCACATATATATGTAAGAATACTGGAATAACATTCGGCAAATTACAGTGCAGTCAGACAGCCTAGAGTGAGGCTGGGTACAGAATAGGTTCACATAAATGATGTTAGATGATGATGGTAAGTACAGTATATGTTAATGCATATGGGGGTTACATTCAATCACAAAATAATAAGAAGAAATGTCTGAAGATAATGTGCTTGCTCGTGGCATGTGTTACAATAAAGATAGCGATATTGAAAGCAATTTGTACACCGCTATGTACTGCCCACTAGTGGTTTATAGAAAAAGCAACATGCAGAGATTTGCCATGGCCTGTAACAACGGCATGAGATTGCTTCTTAAACATAGACGGTGGTGTAGTGCCAGGCAAACGTTCGTGAGTGTCAGTGTGCCCACCTGCTCTGCCATAGTACTAAACTGCTCCGGTTTGCATGCGGTTGCAGTTTGCTGATTTCTGCCTTTTTGATATGAAAAAGCTGTTTATGCATTTCCATGTAAAGGCCCTTCTAGGGACAGGCATTGGAAATGAGCAGTAACTTGAAATACTGTGATACATTACATGGAAAACTGTTGCGCAATTCTCTATGTATATCTGTCCCTATCAAATAAACATAAAATCAAATGTATTGGGGGATTTTATTACTGTGTTTTATTGTATTGTTTGTTTGAATTTAGGACAACTTTGGACCTTGTCTTTGTGTCCTCAATAAAGTTATCTTTATAAATATTATTAACATTTTATTATTATTATAAATTGTTGTGAAATCAGTCAGGTGCACCTGGTGGCTGGTCAGCCCCTCTGGCATGGAGCTCAGCTGTGGAGGAGGATGCTTCACTTCTGACACAGCCACATCCAGGTATCCGGCATCATCCTCCTCCTCTGCAGACATTCAGACATAAAGAAGAAGAAACATACAGAAAGGTTAAAAAAGAGAAAGTGTGTGTGTGAGTGTGTGTGAGTGTGTGTGTGTGTGTGTGTGTGTGTGTGTGTGTGTGTGTGTGTGTGCGCGGCAGAATAAGACAGAGAGGGAAAAACAGAAAGGCAGCTTTCAAATCTCACTGCAGCTGGAGACACATTGCGACCCACTAAGTTTATTACCTCGAAAATATGAAGAGATTTCTATAGTCTCTGAAAAAGAGATGAGAGTGAGAGAGCGAGAGAGAGTTATAGAGAAAGGAGTGAAAGAGAGAGAGAGAGAATGAGAGAGAGACAAAGAAGGCTTCCAGAAAAAAAAAAAGCGAAAACTTTCAAAACAATACTGTATCTCTGTAGGAGTAAAAGAAGCACACAGAAGTGTGTCTGCAAAAACATGATCCAACACATTCTCATCTCCGCATTGGCACAAAGACATTCGGCAATCTCAAAAAATGAAAAAAAAATGAAAAAAAATCCCCACTGAACCCATAACCATAAAGACACGGAGACCAAAAGCTTCCACCGTTCCAATTAAAGACTTTGGAATGATAACAGAGGATTGGTGGGAAAGAAATATAATGCCGTGCAGATTCCCCTCGATCAACACCTAAAAATAGCAGCACTGGCCTCTTTACCTCTTTGTGATGGCTCGGAGATTTGTTTGAGGCGTGGGTCTGGTATCTATGGTTTATGGAGCTGCTCGATACTCCATTAATGGATGGTAATCTCTCTCTATTGTCAGGCAGGGGTTCCTATAACACAACCTACATTGCGCCGCACGAGTTCCTTTATCCATTTCCTACTCACACATCAGAAACTTTACTCGACCACGTCGTCTGTCTTTAAACTGAGAAAGCCTGTCTGTTTTATTTATTATGGCTACAATCAGTGAGATCTTTCTTTTATTTTCCCCCTGAAGGGATTTGTATAAAGAAAAAGTCGGGCTCTCTCCACGATCTGCCTCGAACACTACTGTGGCTCTCCTTGCTTTGCACATAAACAAAAAACTCAAAGAGTCAACTGCAAGAAGTTAAAACCCAGACTTCATAACCAATACCCATTATTAAAAAATAGTATAACTTTCATCCCAAAAAAAAAAAAAAAGCCAGCTGGCCAACATTTGCAAACTTGTCACACATTCCTAAATTACCCAATTGATCTTTTCTCTGCAGGAAGGAGACTTTGCGCATGACGGCTATCTTGGTCTTTTCGAGCCCATCCTTCGTTCCGCTTCTCGCCGCCTTCATGAGCTGCTGAACCTAGTTGGAAGGAGCAGACGGTAAAAACAAACGAGGGAGTTGGCGTTACAGTGCGAGGACAGTGCAGCGCTGTGGAGACTCTGTAACCTACAGTGCTCCCCTGGAGGGAGACGGAGAGAAGTGCCTCTCGCAGGGCTCATCGTGAATCTCACCATCTGCGACTCCCTGCGGGTCGCTGTGCAGCCTCTAATCAGAGAGCCTATGAGCACGTCATCAAGTGATTATGGTATCAGAGTGAGCTCCACATCAGAGCTGCATCATCGCTCAGTGTGGGAGAATTCATTTGACCACAAACTCCACCCCGGAGCATCGCAGAGGCCCCCCGGCAACCAGACTCCCCAGACCAAGAATACACGCAGGGTGGTAGTATTTTTAAATGATGCTACTTCAGGAAAGTGGGTCATTAATTTGGCGGAAAGTTGCACTGGTGTTTATGGAAGTAAATACACAGAATATTATTTAATTATTTATGTGTCCCACAAATGCGTCTTGATGTTAAGCCAGGCAGGGAAAGAGAGAGAGACTGACAGAGAGTCTCAAAGCAAAGTCACAGTCCAAAGGAAAGCTTTTGGAAGGATGGTGCAGTGAGTCAGTTAAGCCTGTGAGTCAGCTGTGCATACAACACAGCATATTTCAGCTCTGGGTCATCATCAATCCTTTTGACAAACATCTAGCAGAGTGATTGGGGCTCTGCGAAGAAACAGTGTGATATAGCGGTGTGTTTTTTTTTCCGCTCGCTGCTGGAGATATACCTTGATGTCATAGTTGTGCTTGCCAGACAGCCTCGTGGCCAGTTCGCGTTTGGTCCTGGCACACCGTTCCCTCAGGCGACACACATCAGGAGAGCGCTACAGGTGTTAGACAGGGACGGGCGGGGCGCGGAGGCAGGTCGCGTTTAGCCACGAAAGGCGAAGAGAGGAGGGAAAAAGTAGGGGAGAGGAAATAGGAAAAGGGAAACGGAGGCAAAGTGATCAAGGCAAAACATGCTATGCAACAAAGGGCATTTAATCACAAGCATGGAGAGTGAAGGCTTGGAGCACTGCTTTGGTCAAAAGGGGTTATGAGGCTAATGGACACTGATTTATTGAAGGATGGGCCATTTAGGCAGTTAAGGGCAATTATTAAAGAAGCATACTCTATCACAGCTTTCCCGGGCTCCTCGTGTTAAAGCAGTAAACTGAACAAGAGAGAACTCCAGGTACACTTAGTGAAGATTAATCAGGCGAGACTAATTAAAAACGATGTGTTTTTTAAGCACGTGCTCGCCAAATTGCCCTAATAGTCGAGGTTTCTTCATTAATTGTTCAACCAGTGCAGCTGAATCCTTCCTTCTTGTTCAGCGGCCTGGGACGAGCATGCCAAGTGAACTGTGGGGGATTTTAACATCACACCTTCAGGTAATTACCTGAGCAACTTATTCTCTGTGCCGATACAACAGCCTTACTTTCTTACCCTCTTAAGTCTCCCTCGTTTCTCAAAGCACGGATTTAACTCAGGATTGTCTCGGATTACAATGGAATCATATCCATACATAAACAACTTCAATATGTAAAGATATGTCGAGTTGGGTATAAATCTATACATTAATAATGATTCGACTCAGCAAAATAGTTTTCTATCAGCACGACTCCACATCTTCCCGATGCCTGCATAGGTGCATACACTTTAACGGCTTGGCCGAGCGTAATGGAAACGCAGCACAATGTGAATGTGCACACAGTGCCATCATGTGGAAGGCTGACACTGTGTGGCCGCGCTGCACAACACTGATGAGCGGCATCCTTGGCAGAGAAGAGGTTGAGATCTGAGGCTTTTCAAACAGAAATGCTTCTTGTTTACTTTCATTCGGCAATGAAAGTTTAAGGCCTAGACGGTCTCTTGTTCATTTTTCATGTTCTTTATAGTTTCCTTCCAGTTCTATACATTAATAAAGACAACTGCGCCAGAGGAGCAGGCGATGAAATATTCTCTTTGATTGTTATTTAAGTGCTGCAAACTGGTCATGTGGAATAAAGAGAGGCGATGATTTGTGTGAGATAAACACACACGCACTTCGCTGACACTACCTTGCTCCGTGCCGGATGTTTGGTCTCGTTATCCGACTGTTCATCATAGCTTTCGAACTCACTGGAGCTCCATCCGTTGTCGGCGTCCGGAGGACCGCTGTCTCTCTGAACATCCTCATAGATCATATCTGCTAAACGCACAAACGAAGCACTCATCAGAGGCTCCACGTCAAGATTCACGATGGGACAGACGTCCCTAAACACACACACACACACACGTGGTTCTGTCGACAGCTACTGACCTTCATCGGGAGTGAGGGGCCCCTCGCTTGGAACATCATCGTAGATCACCTCTGGAGCCTCCGCCGTCTGCGGTTCAGCTTGAGCTGCACGTGGAACTGTGTAAACAAACACTGTGTTTTAAATAGGAAGAAGAGAGTGCTGCCTTCTATCTTTTATCTCCCTCTTCTGTTTGATAGTCACACCTCCCGTTGTCAGATCAGTCTTTTACGTTTCTCCCCCAAAATCGACGCACACAAAGATGGGCACGCACAGCTCCAAACTACATCGCCTGAAGCCTTTTGGCGAAGTAGAATTTGATAAAAGACGCCAGATCTTCTAGCCTCTGGTTAGGAATTTACTCAGCCTTTCAATATTTACATACTTATTGTATCATTTGAGATCTGACACATGGCTGGCGCGTGTTGCCATAATGCCTGTGTCCGTGACGCGACGTGATTGTATCCAGCTCGTTTGAGCTATTGACCCATTCCATCTCCACGCTTGGCAGGATTTGTCATTAACTGCTTTGAGAGTGTTTCAGCCTAATTTAGCTCAGTGAGCTTTATTGATTTGGTTTTAAACTGTGATTTGTCTGTAACACTTACTCCTAAGCCCCCGAGCAGCAACAATCACTGTTTTCAATTAATCTGATTGGAGATGTGTCTTCTGTCATGGAGTGCAGTCTGAAAATTCTAAATAATCTTGGATAGAATCCAGGAGATGAACAAAGAGCAACTGTTTCTCTACAAAAAGAGGATTAGCTACACAAATGTTCTTTATATATATCGTTCACTTGCCTGCACTTGTGCATTCAGAGAGGATTTCAAATAGAGAAGAGAACCAGTGGATTTGGGCTATCAGCCTGCCGACTATCAGCATATCTGCAAAGTGACTAGGCCTCTTGGGAACACGGCTTGTTATTTCCAACCAGAAGTTCCTCTCTCTGTGTTTTTTCTTACTTTTATTTAACTTTTCTCTGCAGCGGCACTGTGACATTGCAATAAACTCATTCGCGGTTCAAAACGGCACTGCAGGCAAAGCGAAAACAACACTGCCATTACGAACAAACCCCATCCCCCCCCCCCCCCCCACAAAACAAACAACAGGAAAGCGTTTGCCATCAGTGTCAGATAATCACATCAAAATGTGCCATGGCCATGTTGGAGGAGTGAAGGGACATGATTGCTTTGACAAACAGGAAATACTTAATTATTCATAATGATCCTTACAAACTAGATTTTGTCAAACTGAAACGCAGTCTTTCTTTCTAGTCTCTTTTGTCCTCCACAGCAGGTATCGCAGCATTATGCAAAAAAAATCCTGGAGTACTAGATTTAAAAAAAACACACAAACAGCATTGCAGTAGATTTCTCATTGACATCGATACAAATGTTTGCTCCTTTCTGTATTGTAATCAGATATCTAGGGGAGAGGTTTCATATAATTGCATTATTCCGTTAGTTTAAATATACACGTTCAAAATGACAGCAGAGGCCTGTGTGAAAATACATCAGAAGTGTGGGACATAAAAAAAATAGATGTGGCGCAGCATTGCAGGGCTTCTTTACATCTCTCATTTCTGAGCCACCTACAAATAACGGCTGCACTGCTGACTGAGTCGAAATCCAAAAGCAATTTTCCCTCATGGAAATGGTTCTCTATTGATCCTCATCCTGAATTAATTGGATTCATGTCATGTCTGTGTTGAACTCAAATCATGCCGGAGAATATGTGCGTTAATGTTTGAATAGAGTGTGGGTGCGTATTTGTGCACACGGATGTGTCTATACGTGTGTGTGTGTGTGTGTGTGTGTGTGTGTGTGTGTGTGTGTGTGTGTAGGTGTGTGTGTGAAATCGATGAACCATAAGATGACCGTAGGCCAGTAATATGGTGTTCTTGCCACCTTTGATCAAGGTCAAGAGATACAATTTGCAGCCCTAACAAAATAATAGTACACAATTTATATTGTAGCAGTGGGATACTGTTTACGCAACTCTGGAGACCCATAGGTGTTCGAACAGATCCATCCACGATGTGAACACTGTAATATAAAGGTGGAATGAGCCCGAATCCCAACGCAAGCTTAAATTTGATCCCTTCGGTCTGAAATTGAACCCTCGATATACAATATAAGGTGCACTTCCCTGTAAATATGATTGTGTTCTGTACCTTCAGAGGTGTCCTCGGCATCGGAGCTTTCCTTGACGATTTCTTCTCCGTGGTTTCCTGAATCAGTCCCCGTCTCCACAGCTGGTGGCACCACTGGAAGCTTCTGGAGCTCCTGTCCCACACGAGGAGCTGAGGTTCTGCTGGGCTCCGCTTCGGAGGCCCTGGAAGGTACCCAAATATTAGCACACTCAAACTGACACAGAGTGCGATGTGCCTCATTAGCAGTTCACTTCACTGAGAGGAAGTTTGCTATCCAAGCATGCACAAACACACTCCCTAAAGTCTGACAGGACACATCTTGACGTTGTGATATTTTTAGTAGGAACGGTATTTTTCCACATGGACAGCTGTGTTTTGTCTCCATCCAGGAGGCTGTGCTGTGTGTCCCTCTTTGTTGGTCTGTTTAGTTGATGGTTAGCAAAAAAAAAAAAAGAGTCCAATGAAATTTGGAGGAAATAAAGGAACAAGACTACTAGAAGCGAGTTCATCTAAACAAGCGGACACTTGTCACAGTGTGGATCCAAACTTTTCATGGAATGACTTAGTATTGTATCATAGGCTTTTTTTTGTTTTTTTACTTTTTCACAAATTTACACAAAAGTACCGCTCAAGTGAATGAAAATCATCCGGCACAGGGAGTCCATGATTGCCTACCCTTTTGTATATCTAATGCAGCTGTGGAGTCAGATACAGGTTTAACATTTCAGCATTTTCAGCACCAAATAACACATTTAGATGATTGTCTAGCAGAGGCAGAGGCACAGTATGGGCTCTCTGAGAGCTGTCTTCATTTTTTATTTCAGTCTTTATATGTAGCTTTTGGTCATGAAACTGTTCCACCCAGACAGGACCTTTAGTGGAACTGAAAATTGTAAAATATTCAGAATTATAGAGTAGCTTCCATTAAGCCATTATTCTGGACTTTCAGCCACTGTTTCTTAATAAGCTGCGTTAATAATGACGTCTTCAAGCTGTGGGATAAGTTGCTGATCTACTTATTCAGAAGAACTTTTGTGAGGCCTCATGTGTAAAGAAGAGACATAATCACACCTATACTGCTTGTTGCTTGAGTTGCTTCACTTGCCCCTGAGCACTGTCAAATCATTACCTGTCATGCCTGCGGCTTACCATAATCACCGCTGGCTTTTTGAATGAGAACATGCCCCGAACCAGCTATTAAAAACAGACTCCTGCATCACAGGGGAAAGACTTGTTTATACAGCTATCACATGGCCTGTGTTGATGTTGCCAGTGAGAGATGTCCTCCCCCACATGACTGATAATATGACAGGATCCAGCATGGAGGAGAGTCTCATCGACACTAATTAAATCTGTCCCTCTGCTAAACACCTCAGCGACGCTTGCAATGCCAGCAGCAGCTATATGCCTCCCCTGCCCCGCTGTCTGATAATCCCTCCGATCTTGTAAACTACTACAATGATACACTCTCCTCCTGTCTTGATCAACTGGCTCCCATCAAAACCAAAACTGTCTCATTCACACACTCGGCTCCCTGGTACACTCCTGAACTCCACCAGATGAGATCTAGAAAGCGCCAGCTTGAAAGACTCTGCAAGAAAACCGGTTTAACAGTCCATCTCCAAGCCCTCTCCGACTACCTTCAACAATACAAAGACGCTCTCATCTCAGCCCGGTCCACCTACTACTCACACCTCATACAGTGTGGCTCTTCTAACCCAAAGGCTCTCTTCTCCACAATAAACAAGCTTCTCAAACCCAAGGACAACACCTCCACATCCTTCACAGTGAACAAATGCAACTCTTTTCTTTCATTTTTCCAAACAAAAATTGACACCATTTACAGCAACCTGAACACCTCCCCCGCCTTTTCCATCTCTCCACCTGCCCCCCCTCCTCCACCCCTCAGCCCCTTTCTCAGTTCTCCCTTGTGTCCCCATTGGAGCTGCCTAACTTCACAACTGGAATGAGAAGCTCCACCTGCATCCTGGATCCCATACCATCTAATCTGGTCAAGGACTGTCTCCCAGCCATCTCACCACTCATCACAGTCATCATTAACTCCTCCCTCAGCTCCGATTCAGTCCCTGACACACTTAAACTGGCTGCTGTCACCCCCATCCTCAAAAAAAATGGACTTGACCCTGACACCATGAGCAATTTCCGTCCCATTTCCAATCTTCCCTTTCTGTCAAAAATACTGGAACGCATTGTCGCCACACAACTCAAAGCCCACCTCATCTCCAACGATCTGTTTGAGCCATTTCAATCCGGTTTCCGCTCACAGCACAGCACTGAAACAGCCCTCCTCAAAGTCACCAACAACCTCCTCCTCTCCTCAGATGCTGGTCACCTCAACATTCTCATCCTCCTCGACCTCACTGCATCTTTTGACACCATCAACCATAACATCCTCTCTCGCCTCGAATCCTCCCTCAACATCACCGGAACTGCTCTCTCCTGGATTAAATCATATCTCACAAACAGACAACAGTTCATCAGTATCAACAACTGCACCTCCTCCACTGCTCCTCTGTCTCAAGGCGTCCCCCAGGGTTCGGTGCTTGGTCCCCTTCTGGTCATCCTCCTCTACTTGCTCCCTCTTGGTAACATCATCCGTCAACATGGTCTTCACTTTCACTGCTACGCAGATGATGTCCAGCTCTACATCTCCACAAAGACCATTACCACTGAAACTCACTCCACTCTCACCAGCTGCCTCACTGACATTAAATCATGGATGCAAACCAACTTCCTCAAACTGAACTGTGATAAATCTGACATGATCATCATCGGTCCCAAATCCCTCACTAAAACCAGTCACAACTTCTGCCTCACCATCGACAACTCCACTCTGTCTCCCTCCCCACACATCTGCAACCTTGGAGTCATGTTCGACAGCAACCTCTCCTTTGAACACCACGTCAAACAAATCACCAGAACTGCCTTTTTCCACTTAAAAAACATAGCCCGTCTCTGCCCATCACTCTCCTCATCTGCTGCTGAAACTCTGATCTACGCCTTCATCACCTCCAGAATTGACTACTGCAACAGCATTCTTCACGGCACATCATCCAAAATCCTAAATAAACTCCAGTACATCCAGAACTCTGCTGCTCGCCTGCTCACCCACACCCGCGACCACATCACCCCTGTTCTCCAGAACCTCCACTGGCTCCCCATCCCACAATGGATTGAATACAAAATCCTTCTCCTCACTCACAAAGCCCTCCATAATCAGGCCCCCTCCTACCTCACCGACCTGCTTCACCACCACACTCCATTTTGTCGGCTCCGCTCCTCTGATGTCAACCTCCTCTCTCTTCCACTCAGGACCAAGCACCGGACATGGGGTGACAGAGCCTTCTCCATATCTGCCCCCTCCCTCTGGAACTCTCCCCAAACATATCCGAGACTGCACTGACCTTTCCACATTCAAATCCCAAATCAAAACCCACCTGTTCAAAACTGCTTTTAATGTGTGACCGATATTGTGTATTTTAATGTAAAGTGTCTTTGAGTACTCTGGAAAGCGCTATATAAATAAAATTTATTATTATTATTATAATAGCCAAGAATTTGGACTATAACCATATGGACATTTCCCCAAAACTGTACAATTTCCGGACATAGCCAAAATACATGGGAGTGGTTTACATTTACTGCCCCACATTTCCTCCAACATGGTTGGACAATAGACAGACATTTGTTGTAATTTGGGGAGTAATAAAGAATCTGATTACATTCTTCCAACAATGTTCTCTCCAAATACGCGAGGATGTTGAAGACTGTTGTGTCCCCCAAATATTCAACCATTCATCCTCTGTAATATTCACACCAAGTTCTTGTTCCCATTTCAGTTTTACATAAAAAGTTGTATTTTCAAATTTTTCCATCAGATGTTGATACAGTGGGTACGGAAAGTATTCAGACCCCTTTAAATTTTTCACTCTTTGTTTCATTGCAGCCATTTGCTAAAATCAAAAAAGTTCATTTTATTTATCATTAATGTACACTCAGCACCCCATCTTGACAGAAAAAAAACAAAAAAAAAAAATCTTTGCAAATTTATTAAAAAAGAAAAACTGAAATATCACATGGTCATAAGTATTCAGACCCTTTGCTGTGACACTCATATTTAACTCACATGCTGTCCATTTCTTCTGATCATCCTTGAGATGGTTCTACTCCTTCATTGGAGTCCAGCTGTGTTTAATTAAACTGATTGGACTTGATTAGGAAAGGCACACACCTGTCTATATAAGACCTTACAGCTCACAGTGCATGTCAGAGCAAATGAGAATCATGAGGTCGGAGGAACTGCCCAAGGAGCTCAGAGACTGAATTGTGGCAAGGCACAGATCTGGCCAAGGTTACAAAAGAATTTCTGCAGCACTCAAGGTTCCTAAGAGCACAGTGGCCTCCATAATCCTTAAATGGAAGAAGTTTGGGACGACCAGAACTCTTCCTAGACCTGACCGTCCAGCCAAACTGAGCAATCGTGGAAGAAGAGCCTTGGTGTGAGAGGTAAAGAAGAACCCAAAGATCACTGTGGCTGAGCTCCAGAGATGCAGTAGGGAGATGGGAGAAAGTTCCACAAAGTCAACTATCACTGCAGCCCTCCACCAGTCGGAGCTTTATGGCAGAGTGGCCCGACTGAAGCCTCTCCTCAGCGCAAGACATATGAAAGCCCACATAGAGTTAGCCAAAAAACACATGAAGGACTCCCAGACTGAGAAATAAGATTCTCTGGTCTGATGAGACCAAGGTTGAACTTTTTGGCATTAATTCTAAGCGGTATTTGTGGAGAAAACCAGGCACTGCTCATCACCTGCCCAATACAATCCCAACAGTGAAACATGGTGGTGGCAGCATCATGCTATGGGGGTGTTTTTCAGCTGCAGGGACAGGACGACTGGTTGCAATTGAAGGAAAGATGAATGCGGCCAAGTACAGAGATATCCTGGAAGAAAACCTCTTACAGAGTGCTCTGGACCTCAGACTGGGCCGAAGGGTCACCTTCCAACAAGACAATGACCCTAAGCACACAGCTAAAATAACAAAAGAGTGGCTTTGGAACAACTCTGTGACCATTCTTGACTGGCCCAGCCAGAGCCCTGACCTAAACCCAATTGAGCATCTCTGGAGAGACCTGAAAATGGCTGTCCACCAATGTTCACCA